ATCAACTTGCACCAACTCCGCTGCATACTTCTTTTGCGATATTTTAAGGGTCCCGCGCGGTTTTATCACGCATAACCTCCATCCCCAAAAAGAACGAGACCGCGCCTAAATCACGCAAATCGAAATCCTTCGCCAGTTCTTTCTTTGACTGGGCTATTAGATCCTTAGAGTCACTCCCAATCAACAGATCGTCAACATGGATAAGCAACTCAACAACGTCAGTGCCTTGACACTTGATAAACAAGCCGGGGTCCGCGTCTGAGACCGTGTAGCCCATTTCCCGTAGCTTATTTACCAATTTAACATACCAAGCCCGGCTGGCTTGCCGTAAGCCGTACAACGCCTTCAACAACCGACACTTTAGACCACGCTCGCCGGTCACAAAACCTTCAGGCTGATCAACGTAAACTACCTCATCCAAATCGCCATGCAAAAATGCTGTGCGGACGTCGAGATGGTGGACCTCAATTCCTTTGGCTGCAGCTTTGGAGAGAAAGGCGCGTACGGTAGCATGATTGCTTGTTGGAGCAAAAACTTCATCATAGTCCACGCCCTCTACTTGCATATATCCTTTTGCAACAAAACGCGCTTTATAACGTTCTACCTCACCATCGGCGCCACTCTTTACTTTATAGACCCAACGGCCTGGTACAACGTTGGCGTCCGGGGGCGGGTGCTCTAAACGCCAAGTGCCTAGCCGGTGCAGCGATGCGATTTCCTCCTCCATTGCCTCCCACCACATATCGGCCTGCGGTGACTTGATGGCTTCTTGAAATGACGTGGGATTGGGTGAAAAGATTGCTGCCGCTGCAATCAGTCGCTCGGGAGCCTTACGGTCCCTAGTACTTCTCCGTAGGCCTGATGTTGATGCAACTGGAGGATTTGATATCTCCCCCGCAGGTGCATCAGCATCGGCCACCTGCTCCCCCGCATCCTCAGCACTCTCATCCCCCGCATCTTCTGCAGTCTCATCCCCCGCATCATCAGCCAGACCTACTGCATCCTCATCCTGGTCGGCATCCTCTAAGAGCTTTCTTGTATCGGAAACAGAAGAAGCTGAGACAGATTTGCCATCATCCTTGGCATGCACATTCACCACACTACCCCCCTTTGACTCGTCAAATTTTACGTTGCACGACACAACAACCTTGCCGTCTTCAGGTAGGTAAATGCGGTAATTGTCCATGCTGTCATAGCCAACGAAAATTCCCTTCCGACTTACTGGATCCAACTTAGTGCGGTGTTGCCTTTCTTCATACACCCATGCCGTGCAGCCAAAAACGCGCAAAACCGATACGTCCGGTTTGTAGCCAAAAAGAAGTTCATGTGGAGTAGCGTTCTTGTTGCTGACTGGAGAGCAGTTGCGTACAGCGTTGGCCGTACGGAAAGCCTCAGCCCAGAACTCATTACCTAGACCGGATTCCTGTAACATGGCACGTACCTTTTCCAAAAGGGTACGGTTCANACGTTCCGCACGACCATTCTGCTCCGGTGTATACGGAGCTGAAATATTGTGCCTAATCCCTCTTTCGGCAAAGAAAGCACGTAACTTTACGTTGACGTATTCACG